GAAAAATTACCTGTTTTTATACCTTTTTGAAGAATATATTTTAAGTCAGAAGCTTGCAACGCAGTGAAGGAGTCGTTTCCGACCCTATAAACCATATATATTCTTGATCAGCATGAACAGCCCAGTCGTTCTGGCCATGTCTGGTTAAAAAATAATTTTTTTACATTTTTCCGAAAATTGAAAATTTTATAAGGGGTTACATCATTAAAATTGCCAAAATTTGATAAAAATTGAATTTTTTAAATTTGAAAACTGGGTATGCAGTTTTGTTAATCTACTAAAAACTAGCATAGAACAGCTTTCCGAATTAAAATTAATGATTTTTGGCTTAGTTATGAGTTTTTTAAAAGTATGATTTTGCGAAAAATTGTCTGTTTTTATATCTTTTTGTCGGTTTTTTTGATTTTAGAAAAAAACTGACAACAGCATCAATAAACGCAGTATGCAGATTTGTTAGTGCAATAAAAACTAGCACAGAAAAGCTTTCCGAATTAAAATTAGTGCACTTTCGGCTTAATTATGAGGTCCGAAAAATTTGATTTTGTTGAAAAATTACCTGTTTTTTTACCTTTTGAAGAATATATTTTAAGTCAGAAGCTTGCAACGCAGTGAAGGAGTCGTTTCCGACCCTATAAACCATATATATTCTTGATCAGCATGAACAGCCCAGTCGTTCTGGCCATGTCTGGTTAAAAAATAATTTTTTTACATTTTTCCGAAAATTGAAAATTTTATAAGGGGTTACATCATTAAAATTGCCAAAATTGATAAAAAATTGAATTTTTTAAATTTGAAAACTGGGTATGCAGTTTTGTTAATCTACTAAAAACTAGCATAGAACAGCTTTCCGAATTAAAATTAATGATTTTTTGGCTTAGTTATGAGTTTTTTAAAAGTATGATTTTTGCGAAAAATTGTCTGTTTTTATACCTTTTTGCCGGTTTTTATGATTTTAGAAAAAAACTGACAACAGCATCAACAATATAAGTATGCAGATTTGTTAGTGCAATAAAAACTAGCACAGAAAAGCTTTCCGAATTAAAATTAGTGCACTTTCGGCTTAATTATGAGGTCCGAAAAATTTGATTTTGTTAAAAAATTATCTGTTTTTATACCTTTTTCAGAATATAATTTAAGTCAGAAGCTTGCAACGCAGTGAAGGAGTCGTTTCCGACCCTATAAACCATATATATTCTGATCAGCATGAACAGCCCAGTCGTTCTGGCCATGTCTGGTTAAAAATAATTTTTTTACAGTTTTCCGAAAATTGAAAATTTTGTAAGGGGTTACATCATTAAAATTGCCAAAATGTGACCAAAAATTGAATTTTTTAAATTTGAAAACTGGGTATGCAGTTTTGTTAATCTACTAAAAACTAGCATAGAACAGCTTTCCGAATTAAAATTAATGATTTTTTGGCTTAGTTATGAGTTTTTTAAAAGTATGATTTTTGCGAAAAATTGTCTGTTTTTATATCTTTTTGTCGGTTTTTTTGATTTAGAAAAAAACTGACAACAGCATCAATAAACGCAGTATGCAGATTTGTTAGTGCAATAAAAACTAGCACAGAAAAGCTTTCCGAATTAAAATTAGTGCACTTTCGGCTTAATTATGAGGTCCGAAAAAATTTGATTTTGTTGAAAAATTACCTGTTTTTATACCTTTTTGAAGAATATATTTTAAGTCAGAAGCTTGCAACGCAGTGAAGGAGTCGTTTCCGACCCTATAAACCATATATATTCTTGATCAGCATGAACAGCCCAGTCGTTCTGGCCATGTCTGGTTAAAAATAATTTTTTTACATTTTCCGAAAATTGAAAATTTTATAAGGGGTTACATCATTAAAATTGCCAAAATTTGATAAAAAATTGAATTTTTAAATTTGAAAACTGGGTATGCAGTTTTGTTAATCTACTAAAAACTAGCATAGAACAGCTTTCCGAATTAAAATTAATGATTTTTTGGCTTAGTTATGAGTTTTTTAAAAGTATGATTTTTGCGAAAAATTGTCTGTTTTTATATCTTTTTGTCGGTTTTTTTGATTTTAGAAAAAAACTGACAACAGCATCAATAAACGCAGTATGCAGATTTGTTAGTGCAATAAAACTAGCACAGAAAAGCTTTCCGAATTAAAATTAGTGCACTTTCGGCTTAATTATGAGGTCCGAAAAAATTTGATTTTGTTGAAAAATTACCTGTTTTTTACCTTTTTGAAGAATATATTTTAAGTCAGAAGCTTGCAACGCAGTGAAGGAGTCGTTTCCGACCCTATAAACCATATATATTCTTGATCAGCATGAACAGCCCAGTCGTTCTGGCCATGTCTGGTTAAAAATAATTTTTTTACATTTTTCCGAAAATTGAAAATTTTATAAGGGGTTACATCATTAAAATTGCCAAAATTTGATAAAAAATTGAATTTTTTAAATTTGAAAACTGGGTATGCAGTTTTGTTAATCTACTAAAAACTAGCATAGAACAGCTTTCCGAATTAAAATTAATGATTTTTTGGCTTAGTTATGAGTTTTTTAAAAGTATGATTTTTGCGAAAAATTGTCTGTTTTTATACCTTTTTGCCGGTTTTTATGATTTTAGAAAAAAACTGACAACAGCATCAACAATATAAGTATGCAGATTTGTTAGTGCAATAAAAACTAGCACAGAAAAGCTTTCCGAATTAAAATTAGTGCACTTTCGGCTTAATTATGAGGTCCGAAAAAATTTGATTTTGTTGAAAAATTACCTGTTTTATACCTTTTTGAAGAATATATTTTAAGTCAGAAGCTTGCAACGCAGTGAAGGAGTCGTTTCCGACCCTATAAACCATATATATTCTTGATCAGCATGAACAGCCCAGTCGTTCTGGCCATGTCTGGTTAAAAATAATTTTTTACATTTTTCCGAAAATTGAAAATTTTATAAGGGGTTACATCATTAAAATTGCCAAAATTTGATAAAAAATTGAATTTTTTAAATTTGAAAACTGGGTATGCAGTTTTGTTAATCTACTAAAAACTAGCATAGAACAGCTTTCCGAATTAAAATTAATGATTTTTGGCTTAGTTATGAGTTTTTAAAAGTATGATTTTTGCGAAAAATTGTCTGTTTTTATACCTTTTGTCGGTTTTTTTGATTTTAGAAAAAAACTGACAACAGCATCAATAAACGCAGTATGCAGATTTGTTAGTGCAATAAAAACTAGCACAGAAAAGCTTTCCGAATTAAAATTAGTGCACTTTCGGCTTAATTATGAGGTCCGAAAAAATTTGATTTTGTTGAAAAATTACCTGTTTTTTTACCTTTTTGAAGAATATATTTTAAGTCAGAAGCTTGCAACGCAGTGAAGGAGTCGTTTCCGACCCTATAAACCATATATATTCTTGATCAGCATGAACAGCCCAGTCGTTCTGGCCATGTCTGGTTAAAAAATAATTTTTTACATTTTTCCGAAAATTGAAAATTTTATAAGGGGTTACATCATTAAAATTGCCAAATTTGATAAAAAATTGAATTTTTTAAATTTGAAAACTGGGTATGCAGTTTTGTTAATCTACTAAAAACTAGCATAGAACAGCTTTCCGAATTAAAATTAATGATTTTTGGCTTAGTTATGAGTTTTTTAAAAGTATGATTTTGCGAAAAATTGTCTGTTTTATACCTTTTTGCCGGTTTTTATGATTTTAGAAAAAAACTGACAACAGCATCAACAATATAAGTATGCAGATTTGTTAGTGCAATAAAAACTAGCACAGAAAAGCTTTCCGAATTAAAATTAGTGCACTTTCGGCTTAATTATGAGGTCCGAAAAATTTTGATTTGTTGAAAAATTACCTGTTTTTATACCTTTTTGAAGAATATATTTTAAGTCAGAAGCTTGCAACCTCCTAAAAATGAACATATGAGCGCTTTCCGAATTGAAATTAATGCTGTTTTTACCTAGTTATGAGTTTTTTAAATTTTGATTTGTAGAAAAAATTTGCTTGTAAAAATATAGGTAATATCCACTTAAATATGGCGTTCCACCTTCAGACGGCCTTCTTGATTAGCATAAAAAGGCGAGTCGAGCTAGCTATTAATTAGAGAATGCATATTTTGTTTCAATTTTAACGATTTTTGCAAAAAAAAATATAAGGGGTTACATCATAAATATTTTCAAAATTTGCCCCAATTTTGACGTTTTTAACTGAGTAAACAGATTTGTTAACGTATAAAAAAAAAACATAGGAAAGCTATTCGAATTAAAATTAATGCATTTTTGGCATAGTTCTGGTTAGTTTAAAATTCGATTTTCTCGTAAAAATTATCCCTATATACGGAAATAAATAAACCACATCAAGAATATCAACCAAGTCTTGAGTAAAAAGTAACGCCCATCCTCTTATTATTTGCTTTAAATACTTTGCCTTTTTGTATGTTTTCATTTTATTGTTTATGCATGTTTGTGCCAGACAATATATTATTGTTATGCACAGAATTTGTTGAGTAGCTGTTCTGCATGGATATAGACAGTGCCATAAATTGACGTCTATATCGGAGCTTTGTGGACATGTGTACCCAGTATATACATACATATATATATATCCAAATCTATATATATATATATACATATGTAGAAAGAAAAACATTTACCGAATCACATTTGGGCCGTGCATCTATTCGATGCCGTTTGTTTTTTTAATTTTCTCAAAGGCGGCTGCGTTGTCAGTCAATGTAGCCAAATTAACAACCGAATTGTTGAGTCTTCTTGGCTTCGGTCGTGTCCCCAAAAAGATGTTGGCTTTAACCGAGAGAGAGCGGGAATGTCAGGCACTTTAAAAATAGCCGGGCTAATGATCGAAGCCAGCGGATTGCTGGACAGCGCTGCGCATTTTGAGAAATACGAAATGAGATTTATGGATCGCGGTACGTACATGCATAGGTGCTGCCAGAAAATCATAAAAACGCCGAGCCATCTATCAATCAAGAAAGGCCATTACTAATTAATAGATTGTTAGCGGCTAAGCAGGCTTTGTGATCTCACTTTTTATTTGTAAACAAAATTCAAAACACCTCTCTAGGAGAGGTAGCCACAAAATGCCGAAACATGCGTCTAAGGGGCCGACGAAAAAGAAGAAGGAGGTGGACTGGGCCTCCGATGAGCACTTCACCAAGGAACGTTCCATGATCTACATCGAGCACACCTACGAGTGTCCCATTTTCCAGACCAAGGCCGATGAGTGTTGCGCCTTCCTGCAGCACAGGATTCCGGAGCGCAAGTTCCAGCTGGTGAAGAACAAATACGGTCGCATCATACCCCGTGATGGAGCCTTCGAGATTGGCTTCTCGCAGAATGCCCGCACCTCTGTCCACCTGATCTGGTCGGGTCTGGAACGAGGGCCACCGCGAAGGGACAAGTTCCCCACCGACTATGAAACAATCGTTCCGGATGTGCAGAGGATCCTCAAGAAATTCTATCCCGACAAGGCGGTGGGTATAAGCGATGATGATGATGACGAGGACAAGGAGTAAATGTAAATTTATCTTTATAAATACATTTACCATAACAATAGCTAATCCAAAGCAAAAGTAAACAATCAGCTAAGGAAGACCTGTTGGCGGGAGACGTCATCAGCATCCCACAAATACGCGAAAGTGTTCTGCAAAATTGCTCTCATTGTTGCCTGACATCACAACACATCATCGTTTGACAGCTCTTTTCACGAGCTAAATGCTTAAATCGACCAGAATAATTAACCAAATACAATACTCGCACATCAGCAGTCACCGCAGATATTGTGCAGAATATTTATCTATATAGTTGTATGCCCTGCGGGGCATTAGCGACGTCCCATTGTCTGCCAGTGAAATCAAAGTGCCAGAATCGGGGGATATAGCATACTAGGGGTATAAGGCGGGTGGCTGGTGGCACTATTTCGCTCTCTCAGTGTTGACACAACAAATAACCAAAACACACACTCACAATCGAAAAAGAATAATCCATACAATTTGAATTGAAAGTTAAATTTAAAACAATACAGATGAAAAACGCTGAGGCCAGGCAGCTGATAAATACTCTTACTAGTGGGGAAGTAAGATTTTTATAAGTAAGCAATTATAAAAGGTTGATAAATATGATAAAGAAACATTTTACATAAGAATAATATAGGTTTTAAGAGTTGAGAGCTGCTAAAAATAAATTTAAGCTGTAAGGAAATACTTTAGAATCAGGTAAATGTCTTATAAACTTGGAAATAGTTCATTTCTTTTATTTAAAAATTAATTATATTAGGAAAAACTGACATTATTTGACATTATTTACTGATCAACTAGGAAATCCCTTACCTAGAGTATCACCCTGAAAAAAATGTACAAACAAAAATCCCCATATATTGCGGATGAATTTGAAAATTGCAATGTGGCAACAGCAAAAATAAAAAAGAACAAATAAATTGGCCAAGCAAAATAACAGCGAACAACGAACGACCAGCTGAAATTTCCCCATTGCAAAGCATTCGCTTCTCCCCCCCGAAAGCCAACAAGTCATGAAAATCCAGACCAATTACATTGTGGACCAACATCCAATGACAATAACAAATACAGCAGGCAGTGGGATACGGGATGGCCCTTTGGGACGACTGGTACTATTCCGACATTAAAACTACAATCGCAGGGGGGAAGTTACTGGGGAAAACAACAACAGAACTAGCTGGATCCCCCTCTAGTTAGATGATAATAATCATCATCTGTGTGCTGTGTGTGCGTGAAAATGTGGAAATGCTGACTCTGGCCAGAGTTTTCTTTTGCCTTTGCTGGGATCTGCATGCAAATTAGACTGGCTTGCAGATGGCTTTTTGATTGACTGTTATGTTGGCCGACTTGCAGTCATGTTTTTCTCACTAATTTAAATATCACGTATACGCCACGTTGAGCCAGAGAGTACGGCTTGACCAGGGAACATGCTAAATATCCACATATATATAATAAAGCCAGACAAAGGCGAGAGGATAAAGCCAACTTTTAGCATATTTTGCAACATCCGTGGCGCGCACATCATTAATATTAATAAAAGGCTGTAAAAAATGGGGGCGGGCAGGCAGCAGCAGCAGCAGCCAAAAATACATCATAAAATGCGGAATGAGTGAGCGACAGAGAGACATTTTCCCGCGACATAAGTAAAGTGAGGAAAAAAGCGGGCCAATGATTTCCACAGACTTTTTATGCGCCGCTCGCACAAAGAAATGTCAACGGAACATTTTCTCGTGTCACAATTTATATATGGGCTAGCGTCTGGGGAAATGGGTTAATGTCCAGCCCCCAAAAAAATGGCCATGGAACTGGAACGAGTAAGGGGCAAAGGCACGGGAGCTAGAGGTAGAACTGGCTATAGCAAAAGGCAGTGGATCGTGGCCCATGTTCGCATGTGGCAGCTGTCACTGGGATATCGAAGGGGAAACCGCACACGCCAAGGACAACGCAGGACGACTGCCAAGAGCCAAGTAAAAGGAGCTTTAATGGAAACAGACCGCAACATTTTGCATTAGAGTGGTAGAAGCGCCAAGTCCAAAGGAGGGAGAGTGGGCGTTGTCCTTTGCCAACAAAAAAAAAGAAGTCCTTTTGGCAGTTGCACCGAAATTCCCCGGCTGATGTAAAAATAATCTACGCAGGCTGCATAAAATAAAACCTCTGTGCGTTGTGCTATTTTTGAACTGCAATACACAGATTCAGCTCCAGTTTGTTTCCTGTCCATGATGACTCCCTCGTCTCCTGCTCCTCCTTTGATCTTCATTCCGGGCACGTTCGGCATCCCATCTAACGCTCTATCTTTTCCATATCCCATATCCAATAGCCCCCAGTCCCCAGTTCACAGTCTCTAGCCTTCCAGAGACAAGACTTGCCATATACCAAGATACCCATCTGTGATCCGTGGGGGTGCAACAAATTGCAGCCGGATTTAAGGGCAATTTATTTACAAGCGATGCGATGCGAGGCGATGCGAGGCGATGGTAGGCGAATGGCAAATGCCAGAAGATGCCATTTTAGGCTTTGGCATTTGTTTTATCGCGCCTAGTCGAGGTCGTGCACTTGGGAAAAAGCTTACTCAGATTTCCTAGAAGGCTTTTAATCTGGAAATAGTACACTTGAACAACACAAAAATTATTTATAATGTCTTCTAGGAAGCCATCTACTAAGCAAAAAGTGAATAATTGATTGATTGATATCAGTCTCAAAAATTACGTATACGCCTGGTATTATTAGTATTTAATATAAATCAATAATAAATAACTTCGGGAAACCAAGTTCTTTTTCCATAGGAATATATTTAAACACCGACCTAAAACCAAGTCAAGTTTTTTGGTAATTTTTTCTGCGAGTGCAAGCTTAAGGACGTATGAGTGCTAACCAGGCCAAATCCCCTTTTAATGAGCCGCCCGGATTGGCCTTTGGCTGATTGCACGCCTAACTGGTCTGCAGATTGCATTTGTCACACCTTAATTAACCAGTCGTTGCCTCTGCGATATATGCGAGTCAGGAAAGGTCAGGCACCAGCAACAGCCTGCCAGCGTGCCTTTTTTCCATTTTCTGCGCCCTCATGAACTTTAACCTATTTCCCCGATGAAAACGAGATTTTATTTACATGCGTGGCCGCCATAAAAGGCTCGGTTTTCCCACAGCTTTCCGCACCAGATGATGATGATGATTTCGTCGAAGCCAAAGCCAGACGGAGTCTGAGAAGCTGGCTAATTAAGCGGAAATTGGCAGCCGAAAAAAATGGGGTGCCCATCCTCCTTGGATGGGGGCTGCATCAGACGCCAGGACCTTGGACTCGCGCCCACATTGTTACTTTGGTTATTAACATGAAATTAGTTTTTGACTAAACACTAATTAAAATTTACGACACCTGTTTTGTTAAGAGAATATTTGAGCTGTGACTCCCGGAAGATTCCCGAGAGATTTGCTAACGCCGCCGCCTGACTTAAGCTGAACATTAAAATGGATATTTAGAGGATCAAGGTAAAGTAATGCAGCTCAAACTTTAGGGGGATTTCTTTGGGTTTCTTATAAAATAAGAAATAAATAATTGTATTTGTAAATATAACTCGTATATTTTGTTTTTAAATCATTGTATATATATACCATACTTTTAATAAACCATTTCAAACATATAAAAGCTTGATCAAATAACCGAACACAAAATGAAATAAAATTTCTCTGTGTCCCAGACAAAAAAAAATCTGGCAATTAAAACTCGCCCTCAGCATTCGTTTCATTCTATAAATATTCGTTTATTCGGAGGCTGCATGGAACGCTTAATTGCTGTAAGAAATGATCTGAAATGCAAAAAGGCAATTTTACCTGATGTCGGTTTTTCGCAATCATTTTCATGCGAATAATTGCACTGACTGTTCCAAATGAAAAATACGTTCGACTTTTTTTTATACTGACTGAGGCTTCGTTTTTATTTAATTTTTACATATACTTTTGTTGTTGTCATATGTATATATATATAATCTCATAAATTAGTTTGTTGTGTATATATATATAGAGATTTTTGTTGGTAATACATTTTTTCCTTATGCCGCAAACGCATATAATTAAATTTCAATATTAATAATTGTATTGGGTTTTTCTTTATGGGGTTTTTGGTGTGTGTTTATGGATTTCTATTTGTTTTGGGAATTGTTTTGTTTTTTACGTTCGTTACTTGAACTCGAACCGAGTTGCAGCTGAGTGCTTGTTTTTTTGGTTCACCAGTTTGGAAATATATATCTACGTATATATATATCTGTACCTATATGTAGTTAGAGTCGTGGGCAAACTGAAGTAGGTTTAATTTATAACCATATATACCACATGTACACATCTATATATATATATATATCTGGTAGTTGTTGCTGTAGTCGCCGCTGCTGCTGCTGCTGGTGTCCTCCTGGCACATACTATATAATCCATATATATTCCACACCCTCGCAGGGAGGACTCGCATTGCCTTTGCCTTCATTTACATTATACATTTATAACCATAATAATAATTTACAAGTTAAATGGCTTAGAAATTATTAGTAGGACTTCCTGCGTGGGTTACCATACGTACATAATACATAAAACACTTTCTAATTAAAGTTAAAAACATCTTTTGTTCGGTCTGTTGTCGCTGTTTGTTCTGTGTTTCGAGTGTTCTGTCTTTTATTTTGGTCTATTTACATAGTGACAATATCTAAATTACTTAGACTTTGCTATACTTCTTGTTTCATCTTTTATCTTCCTTCCTACCGTCTTTCATCTTTATATATTTGTTCTTTATTTACATTGCGTCGATTGAATAAAATGTTTCGCAGACTTTTCTTGACTTTTGCCATTAATTTTTAATTTGGTTAACAAAAGAACGTTAAAGGAAATACCCTCTCTTTGGTTTTTGTATAGTTTTGTTAAACACGTTTTAGAACTAATTTAGTTAAAATACATTAAATGTTAGTTAATATCGGGATCTATTCCGCTTTTTCGTGCATTTAAAAATAGTGCAAAATACATTTGTCAAAAATCTTGGTGCATACTTTGAGGCGGTGCTATATAATCACAACAATTACGATTTAAGTGCATTTGCTTGTCAGTGTCGAAATGGGGTGGCGGTGTATGGGCATAACGAGGGTAGGGTAGTGTAGGGTAGGGTAGTGTAGGGTAGGGTAGTGTAGGGTAGGGTAGTGAAGGGTAGGTGCTTTAGGGTCTACGTCTATACCAAGGTGTCCGTGGGGAATTCCGCTCAAAAGCTTCGGTTAAGGACGGATTGCTTCT